TATTAGGCCCCTTTTCTAGATTTTACTCTTAGGTCCATACTTTATATAAATATCAAATTTGCTTGCTAGATCATTAGTTTGGTCGGATTCCTCTTTTCTTAGGGTTATAGGTAATAGCGATCAACAGGTTTTGTGTGTGGCCAGCTAACACACAAGTAATCCCTAACTAACCTAGTAACCCCTAACTGACTAAGTAACCCTTGACCAAGTAACCCCTTCAACCTAGTAACCCCTAACCAAGTAACCCCCGATCGACCTATTATGATATTATCAAAAATTTATACTAAAAGAACATTTTGTGATGTTCAAATAGAATGATCTCTTTTGTTATTAAGTTTATTTAAGATTTGTGTCTTATTAAATACTACTACTAATAATAATAATATAAAAAGGATTAGAAGACAATAGGATAGTTGGTTAGAGTTGTGTTTTGTGTTCATTTTGGATTTGGATTGCAAAAGATGAAATTTGTTAAGAGGTAAGAATGCTTTAATTTACATGTGTGTTACAATTGATTTGAACTGTAGGAATGTATTAGTTTCATGCATGCCAACACAACTACACAAGTCACAACTCTATCACTTTCATTAATGGACTGATGACCAATTATACAGTATTACAGTATATTATATAGTTCACAGAGCTACCAGAAATTATCAGCATATAATAACAATAATGTCAAAAATCAAAAATAATGATAATATTTCAATCTTGAAAAATTATTATTATTATGATATTATCAAAAATTTATACTATACATCTCTATACAGAGTACTCTATTCTTTTTTTGTACTTATGATTTAGGTATCTTGGGTCTCTTGTGAATGACGCTGACAGGATTATCCTATTCCCTTTTACAGCCCTAAATATGTAGTGTGTATCTTGGGTCTCCTGTGAATGACGCTGACAGGATTATCCTATTCTCTTTTACAGCCCTAAATATGTAGTGTGTGGAGTATATTGTTTCTTTGTAATTCTGGTACATATTTCTTGTGCCTCCAGAAAATCTGTAAAATATACACTGGGGAGTGTAGCATTACTACGGAACTTATCTAAATGTTGAAATTTAACAAAATCAAATCTATGCAAAGGAATTTTATTATTATCTGCAACGCCCTTGACAGTTGTATTTTGAAAAAATTGTATCATTATCTTGTTATCGCTCACAACACGATATTCATTCTTGTTAGGTACAAGAGAAAAATATCGAATTGTGTAAACTTTGCCTTCAACCAGTTTAGAACGAAATTGTTGGACAAATTTTCCTTTGATTGAAGCATGGGCATATTCACCCTACATATGCAAAAAATATTGTAAGTTAAAATAATATGGTAAGTTACACAATAAATTTTCAAAAAAGAATTATATATTATTATTAAAAATAAAATTAAAGGCATACCTCTTCGTCAATTAAAATCATGTCCAAACTAATCAAATTATTATGTTTCCGAAAGTTCAATATATCAAAAAGCCTTGATACACGTACTTTAATTTTCCAATCATTTTTGGAAGAATTAAGTTCTCGAATCAACGAAGTAGACCTAAGAAAACAATGCAATGAAAAAAAATACGGAGTAGTTAAAAATAATATTATTTGTGAATACACCCATCTTGCACTGTATTGGTAATAAGAATGGTTTGAGAACACATTTTTACAATTATTTTAACTTCTTACTTCTCAATCAAATAACATAGTTGACCCCAAAAGAAAAACACATAGGATGATAAGAATAAGGAAAGCACGACTCTCTTTTTAAACTTCACTTTACAATGCATCTCTATTTTAATCTAGAAGTAATTGAAAAGGCAGCGGTACAACATTAATCAAACATTAGGTTGTAATCTATAGACTTAATTTACCATCAATTAGCATATAGGCAAGCTGAAAAACATTGATAAATAGCAAAATAGTAAATCTTGGATGACAATAACAATGATGATAAATACAGAAGACTTGAAAAAGTGTAGTGATGCCTTTTTCATCCCACGACCTTACTTCCCCATGCAACCTCATCATATTCATTGTTAATTCATAAAAAAATTTGAGTTTAAGGAATTAGAGAACATTTTCTTAAACCACAATATAAAGTCGTTAATTGCTTTGTATGAAGTATTGTGTGATTCTTTAATGGTTCGTGGATTAAATTAATGCCTATTTATAATAATAACAAATCATAAGCTAATTAAAACAATTCATATCTTTTTCCTAACTTAAATTTTATCATTATTAAAAAAATTTAATCATTATTATATTTTTCCTAATTAATTATAGAGACGCACAAAATGAGAAGTCCATAAACAATTTAACGAAAAAATTGTATGTTGATGCACGTTAATTTATCGACTTTGATGATGCAAATATGTGTCAATGTGTGTGTTATGCTTGATAATTTAAGTTTATTTTTTTTAAAAATTATGATAAACATTAATATGCACGTAGGATCAATTTGATGAATTGGATTGTTATTTTTCATCTTGACTTTTTTAATTTTAATATTTTAATATTTTTTAAACCTATTTAATTATGATAAACATTAATATGCACGTAGGATCTATTTGATGAATTGGATTATTATTTTTCATCTTGACTTTTATAATTTTAATATTTTAATATTTTTTTAACATATTTAATTATGATAAACATTAATATGCACGTAGGATCAATTTGATGAATTGGATTGTTATTTTTCATCTTGACTTTTATAATTTTAATATTTTAATATTTTTTAAACCTATATGGCACACATTAAATACCAATCCTACATCGCACATTTATGTGGCGCTCTATAATTTTTTTAAAATAACAAAATCCTATGAGGCTCTATAAAAACGCGGGGAAAAACTCCCCTTTATATATATACTAGTTTTGAGCCCGTGCGATGGTCGGATTGTTTATTGAATTTAAAAATTAATTTTTTTTAATATATGTGCTTTTGTGACTATTTAAACTATGTAGTAGAAATGTAATGACTAATAATGATATTGGTGAAAATGTTCGATTAAATACATAAAAAAAATTATGTAAGCATGAAATATTAGAAAATTCTAATAATAACAAAAAATAAATTAAATTAAAAAATTGTTCTACGCCCGTCAATCCTGAACACAAACTTAAACTTTGAGCTAGGGTTGAACATTTTTTGACTTGTAACCTAGAGTGACCCGATCCGAAATGACTCATGACCCAACCCAATTAACATGTCGATCTATAGTAGGATGTGTTTTATTCACTTGATTTTTATTTATCTAAACTTAATATACCTTATTAAATTTATTTTATTTTTAATTTGTACTTGGCTAAACCTTATCATAATTTATTTTTCCTAAACTGAATTTATCTTAACTTAACTACTTTCCTTCGCTCCAAAAAAGTAAATTTAGATGATACTTATTGACAGTTAATCTAAGATTCTTTTGAATAAAATAACAATTTTATTAGTATATATAAATATTGGTATTTTATCAAAAATAAGATTCTAAAATCTAAAGTAACAATTTTATCCCAAAATTTTATCTAAATTTGATCGAAAATAAAACTTTAAACTAACTTTTTTATTTTACCTCTCGTGACCTGGCTAAAAGTTTAGCTTTATATATTAGTTATTATATGATATGGTATTATGGTATGATATTAGATTAGATTAGAAGATTAGATTAGATTAGATTAGAAGATTAGATTAGGATCAATTCCCATCACACCACTGGAATATACGAATTCACTAAACATTCCGCCAAAAAAAAAAAAAAAAAAATTTACAAATCACAATCCCTAGACAAGTCTCTCTCACAGTTTTTCCATTGATATTTCTATCCTCCATTGAAGCAGCTTCTGGGGTAAGATGCTGTTCCTTTTTAAATAATCTTATATTAATTTCACAAATAATCTAGGGTTTATCGTTAATTTAGTTGTCAGTATATATTAGCCGAGTGGGTATAAATGGGTAAATGGGTCAGGTTTGAGTCGGGTTAGTGTGGGTCGGGTCATCTCGGGTTGGGTCAGTACGGGTTAATGTCGGGACCTATGTGGGTCGGGTTCGGGTTGGGTCATGCTTGCGTCGGGTCACGTCGGGTCATACATCTTATCGGGTTTGGGTCGGGTTTAGGTCGGGTCAATAAAAGGTCGGGTTACATTCGGGTCAGGTGAAAAACAGGTCGGGTTACATTCGGGTTTTTACGGGTTTAAACGAGTTAGGGTCCTGTTTGGGTTCGAGTCGGGTTCGGTTCAAGTCAATTATTTGCGGGTTATAATCAGGTCGGGTCATTATCGGATTCGGTTCAAGTCAATAATTTGTGGGTTATAATCACGTCGGGTCATTTCCTAGTCGGGTCATTCTCAGGTTCGGTTCAAGTCAATAATTTTTTTTTTTAAAGCTCCAAATCAAATTGCATAATTTAAAACATTTTTAAAAATATTATAATAAACAAGTGAATACTAAAATTTGAAAAAACTGATCAATAAAAGGATTATAAATAGTTATATGGAAGTTTATTTTGAAGATAAATTTAGAAAAAAAAAAAAAAACATTTGGCTTATTTAATTAGACAAAATCACTATCATCGATTCACCTCACTCACCTCATATAGCCTCAAATACGTTTAAATTCAGGTTAGTAATAGGTCGAGTTTAATTTCAGGTCAGGGCAATAACAAGTCGGGTTGAATTTGGGTCGGATCAATAACAAGTCGGGTTGATTTCGGGTCGGGTTTGTAACAGGTCGGGTTTAAATTCGAGTCGGGTTAGGAACGGGTCGGGTTGACCTCGGGTCGGGTTAGTAACAGGTCGGGTTGAATTCTGATTTTGACGGGTTAAATCGGGTTTGGGTCATTCTCGGGTTCGAGTCGGGTTCGGTTCAGGTCAATAATTTATGGGTCACATTCGGGTCGGGTCCTCTCTAGGTCGGGTTATGGTCGGGTTCGGGTCTCAAATACTCGGGTCAACTCGGGTCTAGGGTTGGTTTCAGCTCGGGTTAGGTCGGGTTCGGGTCACCATTTTTTTCGGGTTCAGACAGGTTAGGGTTAGGGTCGGTATTTCGGGTCGGGTCAGCTTTTGACAGCTCTAGGTATAATTACTTAGACGAGTGATTTTGTAAAGGTTAATTAGATTGAATTTAATTTGCCTTTAATGTTAGGATGGAACTATGAATTCGACCTCTTCTCTTTAAAATTATGTGAAGTTTCGTGCCTAATTTCATACAGAAATCAAATTTGCCTTGAATGTTAGGATGATCTTCTCTCCCCCTGCCCTAAAGTTTGAAGTTGTTGTTTCTCTGGGAAGTTAAGCTTTGAAATTTGTAAAAATACAAACTGTTTCAGTTTATCAGGAGAGCAAGGATTGTTAAAAGTTTTGATTTTTCTGATTAAGGGTTGATAGTTTTGTGGTTGAAGGTAAAGGGTTGATTTTTATTTTTTTGTCTAATTGGTTTGTTACTTCTGGAGTTTACCAGATTTCAGAGTGGAAGAATATGAGCGACCCTTTCACACCAGTATTAGAGCGATGTGGGAGCCAAATGCAGTATTCCTCGGTTAGTTATAGTTTGATTTGTACTTTTTTTATGATTACTAATGTCTGTTACATTTATACTTTGAAATTATTGAAGATGATATTTGATGAACTCATGTGGTATGTAATTGAAAATAACAGTACCAGTGGAAGCGCTGCAAGTTCGCAGACAGGCTGAGTGAGTTGCCAGATGATATACTGGTTTTGATTGTGTCTCGTTTAAGGCTTAAGGAAGCAGTAAGAACTAGCGTTTTATCTCTAAGGTGGAGAAATATGTGGACTTACACAACTGGTACCTTTGATTTTCAGTATTCAGAGGAGTCATCTTATGTAGAGAATTGTTTGCGCCTAAGTCGGAGGGTTGCAAAAGAACTCGATATCAAGGGGCCATTTTTAGTCAAAAGGTCTGAGTTTATGAAATTGGTCAATCACGTCTTGAGCTTGCACCAAGGTCCAACTATTGAAGAATTTGAAGTGTTTGTCAAATCACATGGAGCAATTAGTGAAGAATATATAGAAAAGTGGGTAGAATTTGCTCTTGGAAAGAGAGTTAAAAGGCTTAAGCTGGATTTGTCACTCAATCTCCATGAAATACATGGATATTTCTCCATCACCAAGCCCTTGCTCCGCAAATTTGAATTAAATCTTTCTTCTCTGACTGTACTTTCTTTGAAATATGTAGAGGTTACAGGTAAGGTTATATATTATGTTCTGCTCAAGTGTTCTGCTCTTGAAGAATTACATGTGGAGGATTCTAGTTCCCTATTAAGGCTGAAAGTCCCTGGCCCCTTACCCCATCTCAAGTGCTTGAAGATTATCAGCTGTGACTTTCTTAAGTGGATAAAGATCCATGCCATCAATATCGTGTCATTTACTTATCATGGGCACGACATTCCTGTATTTTTCAAGACAGCCCCACGACTAGTTAACACTTCTCTTCTTGGTCGTTATGCTTCCTACTTTGTCCAAAACATTGGGAAATACTCTAGCTACATTAAAAATGTGGAGTCGCTTGTGCTGGAATTAGAGAGCTCTGGAAAATACCTGGTTAGTGCTCACATATTATCATTTTGTGTGTTTTTAGACTTTTGGTTTACTGTAGTTGATTTTTTATTCCTTCAGTTGCTGCTCTTCTTGTTGAGCTTCATTTTTGTACCTTCTTCAGTGGGCTAATGTAATGGCTTACTTTTGGGTTAGTGGCTTATATGGTACAAGGAGTAGTTTAAGGGAATGATGAACATATCCATGTTTTTTTTTTTTTTTTTTCTGCTCTGCCTACTTGTTGTAGACTCTTGTTCCTTAGTAAGTGGGTCTGTGGGTGGCTGTAAGAAAGATTAGTAAAAGAGAAATAGATGGTGCTTATCGAGCGAGTCGATCACGAGAGGGGTGCTCGACTCAAAAACTTTTTACTTGTGCTCGCTAAAGTTTCGAGCTAATAAAATATGCTCGACTCGTGCTCGTTAAAGTTTCGAGTCGAGTCGAGTAGCTCACGATCTGCTCGTTAAAGTTTTGACGCTTCTATAATTATATGCCTTTATTTATTTATTTTTTTGTTCACTTTATATTGTTTTCTTTTTTTTATATATTTATTATTAAAGATTTACTCTTTCTTTTTGATAATATAAATTAAAGTGTCTAATTTGTTTAAACATGGCAACTTTGTTTGTAAATTCTATATTACTAAAATATATTATCGAGTTGCTCACGAGCTTATCGAGTCGAGTTAGAGCTTGCTCAACTTGTGCTCATTAACATCTCGACTCGAGTCGAGTTCGAAGCAAGCTAACTCGAGTCGAGTTTTGACCGAGCGTTGACCGAGTCGAGTTCGAGTTGCTCGCGAGCTGCTCAACTCAATTAGCACCCCTAAGATGGATCAAATTAAGAGAAGAAAGGGGGTTACGAGGGTAAAGTGCATGGTAAAAGGTAACACAAGAAATAGAATGAAGTAGAAGTCGGTACATGCTTACAACCAAAAAAAAAATTAATACACCTCAAAACAAAAGGTTTTTAGAACTGATAAAATAAAAGGAGTTTGTGACTTGGGATGGGGTGTTTAGTTTTGAAACTGTTGATGGTAATGCATTTTGACTTCAAAGCACAAGCGTTTCTTCATTTTATGTTTTTGTTATTACCATCAAAATTGTGGTTACAGAAGATAATGATACGTGATAATTCAAATACAAATCTATTAGGCTTTCCATGTTAATTTATGCATAAAAGTAATCACATTGCCTCAAGTTATTGCCTTGCTTAACAATGTGCATGTGTGTCATTCCCGAGGAAATTTTATTTGGGGTGGTTGTTGATAAGTTTATTGGAGGTGTAACGAAATGTGCCCAGCTCCATAAAGATTATTTGGTGATATATGTTTTCATTAGAATGAGTCCCCTGTAGTAAAAATTTATGGGATTTTCTTCACAGATTTTATTGTAATGTGGGACTGGGAGGCAGAAATTGGAAGTGGTCTCTTACTCTTTTTCTATTTCAAAATGAGTTGAGAGTACCTTGTATCCATAAGCCTTTGAAGTCTGAGCCCAATTACTGAACAATGCTTTTCAAAAACAATATGTTTCTGAATATTGCTAATCACAAGAGTGCTATTCAAATCCCATAAAATTCATCTTAGTCTTTTCAAGATTCTTTGTTTAATGCAGTCATTGAATTTGAAATTTGTAGTGATGAAGCTTACATGAATGAAATCATTCATATGCCTTCCACACCTTGATTTGAAGAGTTTACATTATGGCTGATTGGCTTATAGAAACTTTCCAACTTAAAGATGAATCATCCAATATAGTGATGATGAATATGGAATGGGGAACCGGCAAAGAACATCAAACCCATCCGCTGATTTTAGCTCTCCATAATCTAGTACTTGTATAAAATTATAAACATCAGGGAGAAAACCCATCTTAAGAGTCATTCTATTTCTCTTCCATGAAATTATAACAGCGATGCGTTTCTCTTGTTTCACACTGATTATTATGGTAACTTTCTAATGTACATTGCTTCAGCCCCTGAAAATATGATGGTTTTCTACTTTTCTTAACCCTTAATGCAACAAATTAAGAAAGGAAAAATAATTTTTGATAAAAGTTTTGTAGTATCATTAATTTTGTTGTTTCCTAGAATGTGAATTGGAAACTCGTTTAAAGTTTTATGAGACAACGAATCGAGAATGTGCCGAATTGCTTATGTATTTAGATTCTTAGCCCTTCAATTCTTGTATGATTTTGTTAAAAAAGTTTACTTTATCTTTAACTGTCAATTGTAGATGTCGTATGACTTTAATTAATGAAAATGAGTGTCCTTTAGAACTTCTAAAAAAAATAATTTTTTTTTTTGCAGATTCAATCCATATCTTTATAAATAGAAAGGGAGTGTTTAAATGAGCAACCTTTAGGCTCTTGAATTTGGAAGTTTGGATTTTTCAATCCTTATTTAGGAATCTTGTAGAGATATTGCAAATTGATTAAACATGACTTTTCACTTTAGAGCCTTGTTATAGGAGCTACATTTCACTTTCTCAATGTTGTTTCTATTTGCAGAGTGATGAAGTGGTACCTGAACTACCTATCTTAGAAACTCTAAGAGTTTTGGAGTTGTACTTGTGCATAAACAGTGTAGAGTATATTTATAACTTCTGTGCAGCTTTTCTAAAGAAATGTCCGCTGCTTACAAGACTTTCACTTTCGGTGAGTTTCTTTAAATTGAACTATTTATAATTTGTTAAGATTTTTATGCTACTTTAAATGGCATTTACTCTGACGCCTATACTCCATGTTGCCCCCGTTGCCTTTCACCGACATGTCACAATACAAATATCTCTTTTTTCAATGTATATGTAAAGGAAAATCCTGAATACTGAAAGTTGGACAATGAATTTGAGCCCATGAGTCTATGACCTCAGAATGAACTGTTTAGACATAATCACTTATCCAGCTTATCAATTCAATGGAAGGAAACCAAATTAAAAGTGTCATTAGAATCTCTTGGATCATACTAGGATAAAAGCTTAATGTTCATACTTCGTACATGATGAATTCTCAATCTTATTGTTTGGTAGCACAAAACTGCAACTTTGTTTGATAATGAGTCATGACAAGTGAAAACCAGGTTGTTCCTTGCAGTTTTGTCTCGCTTTGTTGCTAGCTTTATGCTTTCTCTGGTTTAAATTTAGAGCCTGTCATGGAACTGTTTTGATGGTCATGTCCTTAAAGAAGTTTGATCTAGATATTTGAGTGTTATCAGATGCTCATCAGCCTTTTTTAACGAAATATCTTGCGTGATTTGTTGAGTTTTAGTGCATGACTTTTCTACTGCTTTCCTGTATCTCAACTATCAGAGTTGACTCTATATTATGAGAGGTAATTGTCCTTTAAACTCAGCAAATACAAAAGTTTTAAAGACTAAGAGATATGAATATGAGAAACAATCATAGCATAACTTTTTTGTTTGGCTTTTCTGAGGCTTTAGTATTCTCTTTAGTAGGAGATAAAAGAGATGCTATGCATTTAAACTTTCCCGAGCTAGCAATTGTGAACAAAAATATCATCCCATTACTTTTAAGGAGTTTTGTTGTACTCTTAGACAGATGTACAAAGAGGCAGAGTTCACTCAGGGGAGGAGACAGGGACTATAAAGGTTTGAATTGTGGAAGAGAGAGATGATGAGAGTTAGCACTTAGCACTGATAATGATGTTTTTTAAGATATTAGGTGGAGGAATACTGCAGATGTAAGGGGAAGGATCTTTAGTTAATGAGCATGGCTATTGTGTATGTTAATCTAAATTGGCGGAACTTGGAAGTCTCACTATATTGGCTAGTACTTAGCAGAGTTCTATATGTGACTATTTGGATGGTTGTACACCCCTCAACAAGTCAGCATGCATGCTTTGTTAAAGACTAGTTGCTCAATCTTTGTATTTATGAAGTTGTCTGAAAATTAGGTTCTTAAATTTTATTTTGAAAACAAACATAAATAGCATTGAAGGGGAAGAAAGGGGTGGGAGTTGTAACCATTTTCCCTAGAAATCTTTCCAATTTTGGAAGGATATGCTTTATAAAAGGAGGTAAAATGGAAACTTCCAATTCCCTTCCCTCCCTTTCCATAATTTTTGTATCCAATCTAGGGACTTCTTATTCGTCACTCTTCCTTCCAATTCTCTGTATCCAAATTAAGTGTTACTACCAGTCTATTCTACCACTAACATAAGTTTCCCTTTGAAGCATTCCGTAAAAAAAAAAAAAAAAACTTCAGTTTGTGGTTAATTTTAGTGCCATGCATCTACTATTATTCTTGTATCTACTATTATTCTTGTGTACACTATGGAAATTTGGGCTAGGTTGTAGGCTTGTGGCTCGGCCTACATAAATATTCTATCATACTGGTGATTTGGCTGACACAGTTTCTTTTTTCATTGTCTTTCTCAATCTCCCACACTATCACTCTTCCCTTCTATGAGGTGAATTGGAACATTAAATTGCAGAACCTATACATTACTTAGCATTTAGTATTATGTTCGTAATCGTATCACAACAAAACATAAGATATGTTAACTAATGTGCTGCTTCATGCATTTGTGTTCAACTGCTAGGCTGCCTGTTGAACACATCCACAATCGAAATGGTATGTCTCGTATTTATGTAGTTGACCATTCCTCGTTTAGTTGTTCAAACTCACAAAGTTGCAAGTGTTGGGCATTGTGGAATGAGCTGGAACTTCATATTCATATTTACCTTTGGGACTTTTATTGACTGTTCAATGTTGATGATTTATCTGTTGGCAGGGTTTCTGGTTAAGTTCTTAATGTAGAAAGTGTTTTTTCTCACATTTTCGGGTAATAGAAAACTAGTGACAATTTTTCATCTCATTTGAACCAGGATTCTCGAATATATGATAATGCTGGTACATACAAGGTTTGCTGGACTAACAGAAGTTCAGAGTGTCTTCACAGCCAACTCAAGGTGATCGAACTATTGAACTTTTGGGGAAGAAGCGAGGGTGAAGCAGAAGTGATTTACTCAATACTTAGCGGTCTTCCCTCGCTGGAGCAGGTGATTTTACGTCCAAACATCTTTTGGGAGTTTGAGAAACCGAAAATAAAAGATTTGTCTAAGAAGTTGAAGATGATACATCCCAAGGTTAAGTTGATCAAATCAAGCTGTCTGAGGCCCTTTTTCTAGTTTTTACTCTTAGGTCCATACTCTAATAAGTCCAGCTGGTTAGTTGACTGTTTCGGTCAATATTGGGTTCACCAAATATATAAAATATTACTTGTATGTATACTATGACATTTATTTAATCAAGTTGGGTTTGCGTTAATGTTGTTAAATGTGGGGAAAAAGATTCTCTCTCTAGAATATTTCCTGTGTCTTCTCTCTAAAAATATTTGCTTCGGCTACACTCTGAATTTCTCTCAATCCCCTTTGAGTTTCACAATATGTTGCATTCACTTGGATCCCCACCACTTGGTTCTGGGTGATATAGAGCACCATTAGCCGATGAGGGTTTGACATTTCTTACCCGCGACTTGCGAATACCAATGGAATTATTGGAAAGCTTCTTGGCATTACAAGAGGAACTGGAGATACCAATGGGTTGATTTTATTGTATTTTTCTTCACACCACTTTCAACAGGAAAAGAAGGATTGACTTTTTTCTTTTTCTAAAATTGGTTGTTGTTTCTTTGCATACCTTTTATTGGTAACCAAGGTCCATGGACCATAGTTTGAGTCCAACTGATCATTTTCAGCGGTGGGCCTTTTTTCATTACACATATTATCCGAACTTTGGGCTGGATGATGCGGCCCATTCTTGTTGTTGACAGCATTAGTAGTATCTGGCAAATTTTAAGATGTAGTACACCTAGAAATAGATGCACCACGCCTATACTTTTGAACAATTAGTAAAAAAAATATGAACAATTGCAAATTTTGAACATGTACTAAAAACATCTGAACATCGCAAATTTAGAACATTTAGTTAAAAAATCTGAACAATTGCAATGCATCATGCCTATACTTTTAAACGTTTAGTAAAAGAAATTTTAACAATCAAGAGTTTTGAACATTTAGTTAAAAAATCTTAACATCACAAATTTTGATCATTTAGTAATAAATCTGAACAATTGCAATGCACCACGCCTATAATTTTGAACTTTTAGTAAAAAAATATTAACAATAACAAAATTTGAACATTTAGTAAAAAAATCTGAACAATCACAAATTTTGAATTATTACGAGTCAGACAAATTTTGAACTGACTCGTAATAATTCAATAGTTTTGTAATATAAACTGAACATTCAATGTATACAAAATGAACATTTCTTGATAAAATATGAACATAAAAATTGCATGCTTATGTTCAATTTTTGTGACGTGTTCATATTCTTTTTACTAAATGTTCATTTTTTGTAAAATTTTCAATTTTTTTTACTAAATGTTCAAAAGCATAGTCGTTTCTAGGTGCACCATGGTGGTGCACATAATACTAATTGGTAATATCTGAAAAAGTGGATGGCTTGCCTGTTTCTTTCTCAGTAGTACTCTGGCAGCTGTTAGAAGGAGGTGAAGAACAACTATCTTTGGTATGCCCAACTCTGCCACAATTAAAAAACACAGAGGCAATATTTTCATATACAACCTCTTGCCAAGCGCCACCTATCCAAAGCTTGGTGGCTAATGGATTCTTAAGGTTAAGCTCAATACAAACACGTGCATATCTTCCACGAATTGGTTTCCCAATTAGTTTTGCAATATCAAACAAGGCAGATTTATCATAATATTCAACAGGTAATTCTGGAATCGAAATAGTTAGAATCGGGCCTGTAATTTGGTTTCCATTTTGAAATCATGAGGTAATGATCAAGAATGAACCATGGACCACCAAATAAGGCACGCTCATAATCATCTTGCATATAGAACCTGAAGAGAAAGACATTATGTCCAAGATCAATAGTTTCCAGATTACCTTTGATCTTCCACATAATCTTAGCTCTCATATCCATGAAATGAGGTCTAATGTAAACTCCAATACATTTTCTCATTTACGTGAGATGCCATGGTTGTCTAAGCATGTGTAGAGTATCCTTAGAGAATTGAACAGAGAGGGCATTTTTAGGAATCATCTCTTCGGATTCATCCCAATCATTTGAAGAAGTCACAATTTTTTTTGATTCTTCAAACCACTGTGAAGAAGTAGCCACCACTTCACGAAAGCTTAGTGAGGGTGGAATATTTGGATTAAGGGTAGGGTTATTTGATTTTTCTTTTCCATTTTTCCAGATAAAAAATATAATTAATCTCTTTGTTTTTCAATGTTATACTTTAACTCACACATAATTCTAGGTAGATTAATTTTCTTTATTAATATAACAAGATGAAAGACTGTGTTATCTTCACCTTAAGAAATTTAATATTCAATAATAATAAATTTAGTTTAATAAAAAAAATTACTATCAAGTAAAAATTGATACAACAGAGTTTCAGTAATAATAAGTTTTAATGCGTAAAAATCAATAATTTTTAAGAACAAATATATTAGAGATTTGCGCTCCGTTCACTTTACCTTATTTTTGCTGAACTGAAATTATTTTTACTGAACTGCAATTATTTTTGCTGAACTAAAATTATTTTTACTGAACTGCAATTATTTTTGCTGAACTAAAATTATTTTTACTGAACTAAAATTATTTTTACTGATTTTCAATTATAATTTTTCTTTAAAGTTATTGAATTTTCCTGAACTGAACTTATTTTTACTGAATTGAAATTAATTTTACTGAACTGAAATTATTTTTATTTAATATTATTATTTTAAGATAAAGTAAACAGAGGCAACAATATAATTTAAATAATTTCAATTTAGCAAAAATAAGAGGAAGAAAATATAACTTGTAATATTAAAAAATTCAATAAAAATAGAGAGTTTTATCATTTTATGTCACTTGTTGACATTATTGATGTAAATCGGTAAATACGAGTATTATTGTTCCATTGATTTTAGCCAAGGACTCTTCAATTTGACGAAACGTTCACTCACTAATCACTATCACGTTTATTTTTGTCAAAAAGTATAACGTTGAGTCGTTCAGCACTCCAGCCTTTCTTCTCTCATCTGATCTTCCCAAACCCTAAATTGACGAACTACAATTATAGAAATCAGGATTCTTTCCTATATTCTTTGATTTCTTCTGATTTCTTTCCATATCTGATTATTTTTTCCAGTTATAAAACCAAGATTTTGATGCTGTTTTTCCCAATTCAATTGCAAGTAATGCCACTTCTATAGCAGGTACTTTAATTTTATCTCTCTTTATTTTTCAGTTTTAGCTGATTAAATCTTGTTTTTGTGATTAAATTGGGTGAATTTCTTGTTGTTGTGCTTAAATATTGAATGAAATTGCCTAGAATTGAATTGATTTGATCATGTTTTTGGATTTGTCAATGGTATGGGATTATGCATTGCTTGTAATTATACTTCTATAGCAGGTACTTTGATTTTCAGCGGTAGGAGATTAAATCTTGTTTTTATGATTTAATTGGGTGAATGTCATGTTGTTATATTGAAAAATTGAATGAAATTAAGTAGAATTGAATTGATTTGATCATGTTTTTGGATTAGTCAGTGGTGTGAGATTATACATTGCTTGTAATTATATTTTCAGACAGATGGAGATGGGCTGCTGTGGGTGCTTTGGGTTCTCGAGAAGGCAAAAATCGATTGCAAGGCCGAAGTTTCGAATTGATGGGTTTACGACTGTTACTTCTCATAAACCTTTGCTAGATGATGCAGAAGATGATGATGATGTTGATGGTTCTTATAATGGGGAAGATACTAGTATGACACAAGGCTATGATGAAACTGAGGTGACTAGTGGGGCGCAACGAGCTGAAGAGATTATTAATTATAAGATTAGAAATGGGTTGATTTGTAGGCAATTTGAGGTCAAAGAAACTCACAAACTCGTGCGTTCGGAGGTGAGCAATATGAGAATGATACTGCATTTAAGATAGCTTATACTTGTTGTTGTATGGAGTTTAAATTTGCTGCGACTTATATGCTTGATGCATTGAGGTTTATTTGTTGAACATTCATTTCGTTTGCTGTAAATTTATACTTGATGAAGATAATATTGTGAGCATCCGTTGTTTAAAATTTTCTTGCAAAGATGCAATCTCGAAAATGTTGAACCCATGCTGGTGTGTTTTTTGTTAATCTTGTCAAATGCAAGTCAACTTCTGATCGTCTCGATGACTGCCTTATTTTAATTTTTTTATTTATTTATTGTTTTTCACTGTTCAAGATAATAATTCTTCTTTTTTATCACTAGGATGAATTTGGGATCAAGAAGATAAACGAGTATATTCGTGAATTTAAAATTGGGTCTGGAAGTTATGCAAAAGTGGTAAGCATTTTGCAAATACACTCCTGATTGATGATGATATGATTTGATTTCTCTCTGATGTGTAGCTTGTAATATGACAGGTTCTTTACCGAAACAGCATTGATGGAAATCATTATGCAATAAAGGTTGTTCTTTTTTATCACCGTTTTTCCTTGCATGCATATGTTAGAATACACATCATTATCATACTTTGTCGGCATCCGTTAATTATGTTTTATGTGAATTGGGGACAATGAAAAGAATCAAGTTTTTCAAGCAAATTTTTATTGTATCGAAGAATTTAGAACTTCAAAGTTCATCGCTAGAAGTTACTAGTAGAAGAAAACATTCGGAGGATAAGAAAAGGGGGATTTTTGTTTTTTGGGGGTTGTAATTGTTTGTTTCTACACCTCTTTTGGTCCCCTGAGCTACATTGTTGGTAAACTTTGGGATTTGTGATCTACAATTGTGAGTTACAGAATTCAAAACATGCATATAATCAGGGTTTTTTTTTCCTAAGAGACCAATCTCTTGATTTATCAAAAAAAAAAAAAAAAAAAAAAAAAAAAAAAACACTGCTGATAGTGTACTACATGTCTACATGTATTCATTTGGCACTTCAGTGTTGCTTTGTTTCTTCTTGATGTAATCAGACTTTTACTTCATTCAAGAAGTAACTAATAGTGATTGGATGTCTACGCGACTACCTGTATGCCTTGCCAATAGTTTGCAATTTTTTTTTCCTCTCTCCATAACACTGTTTGAGTCACTTAAGATGAAATTTCATTATGATATTGCACTTGCTTGTCACTTTCTGTAAGACTTAAATAACTGCAAACTTTGCCAGTGGATTTCTGTAAATACTTTAACCTGGTTTACTTTTTCCTAATGATATTAATAGAAAGTTTTCCATGCACAAGAACACATGCAACTTGCACTCTAGGATTTCTGGATTGGGAACTTTTTAATAGTTTGGTGATTGGGAACTTTGCAATTCAATTTCTGGAAATTATTTGACCTGGTTAACCCTTTTGTCGATAAAGTGATTGTATTCT